GAACCAACAGATTATTGGTTTTAGGTGGTGGGTTGTTGAGCAATGCTAGCTCCTCTTGAAAACGTCCCGATTCTGCATCAACCAAATGTACCAACAAGCAATTGGGAATGCAGTATCCCAGCTTAAGTTGAAGTCTTTCAAATTTTGTCATCTTCAAAAGATCCTAATATATATGGTAATATTATGCAAACTCATAAACTTAAATATAAAAGAATGTTACAATTTATTCTACGCAAACTATATTATTTTTAACTGTCGATGGACGGATGAACCCCTAAAATCACAACGTTTCTACCCTCCGTCAATGATTATTAGAAATGCAATCTATACAAAACATGCTCCACCTCATTTTTCTGTAAGTATTACATGGACTACATTCCACTTAATATCAGCTTTATTTTGGATACTCAGGTGGTGTCCTAAGTCCACCTTGTTTTTAATAACAGGAAGTAAATTAAATTCCAGTACTTCCCATCCCTCCGAATGCCATAAGCCAGCAGCAGAGTATTGCTTTCGCATGGCAGAATTATTCCCTAAATTAAGCTAACAGATGCCATTTTCTCAAGATTCACCAGGTTATCATTTTGCAACCAAACTCAAGCATGAAAACACATCCTGCAGAAGTAAGATCCCAAACATAGCCTTAAAAATCTGTCCCATTCTTTTCCAACACTTCACAAGTACACTTCAATTAAGTTCTTGTTTGTTTTCTTAGACCACTTCTTCATACATTTCTCATAATACATTACAATGTTGTGATACAAAATCGTTTCTCTACACACACATATGTACACAAATGATCAAGTATCACTTTCTCTTTTTATCTTCTGTTTCTCTTTCAAGAATTACAGGAGCCGCTGGGATACTGAACCACCATTCTCTAAATCTCCTCATCCATCTTTCCGTGCTTGGTTTCCTTGGAGGTGAATACCTTGTAAACGTCTCTAAAAAGGTCAGCAGAACTATGTACTTAATGGGCACAAAGGCCAGAATCAAGGCTGTACACAAAAGACTGATCGCAAATTTCTCACTTGCCTAGATGATAATATAAGAGTGAAAAAAGTTAGAATGTCATAGTAATGTTATTATAAGTTATGAAAAGAAACCCATATTAGCATAGAAAGGTCCACAAAGGAAGGAAGGAAAGAAAGCAAAGAATAGAACCTTTGGGAAAATGGACAGTAACAGGGCACGGAACTTGAGAAGGACAATGTTCCCATCTTGGATAAGCTGCTCAACCTGAGAAATTGCATTCTGAACAGCCAAAAGCTGCTCCATTGTGTTCATGGGTGGAGGTGCTATTACCTTAATTTCATAGACAGGCCTTCCTTGATTGAAACATCGAGTAAGCATCATAAAGGCAGCAACAAATAGAAGCATTAGTGCAAAGGCATAACTCAGCCATCCCCTGAAATGCAGATCACGAAAATTCTAAGGATGGAAATGGAGCAGTATCATTAAGGCAGGGAAACCCAATATGAGCCCCTCAAAGTACTAAAAATATAATCCCCTAATCTCTTCTATAAACTAGAGTGACATTTAGAATGAAACATTTCCCAGAACATTGCATCTCCCTTGACAGAAGTAGGCATAGGTTTTTCCACTTCAAAAGCAACATTACTTTCAGATGAATCATGCATTTGGTTAACCAAGACTATACTTTGTTTTGCATAACAGAGCATCTACCATTATTCATATCAAACAGCTTGACAAAATCTGAATCAGCCGCATATTATAATAACCAAAGAAGCTAGGGTGCTTTCAAATTAAGGGTTTGGGGCATTTAGAAAGTATGTGCAATCATGGGGATGTAGTTGCTTACATACATTATGGTTGTTAATTTGGAAAGAAAATGAAGTATTTGAGAGTTATATGGTGCAAGGCTCTAGAACTGGAGAGTATGAGAATAGTGCCTTTTTTTTTGTTTTTTTGGTACATTGGAGGGTTAGCTACTTGGCAACATAGAGGTTTGAACTTCTAACCTTGACCCCAAATTAAGGTTTTTAAATTAATGGGTACCAACTCAACCAAACTCTTGTTGGTATGGGAATAGTGCTTATGAACCAAAAGAGATATTGAAAGGAGGATGATAACAAGCTTTGCACTTTGTATCCTTAAACATCGTGCCTAAAATTGATTCAATAACACAATCCCAGCTAAATCCATCAAAGATAAAAACCACTAAAATAAAAAAATCTCCTCACTTAAGAATAACCTAATTTTGTCGTTAGCATCATAATTGTTAAAGCATCCAACCTAAAAACAATTAGTAATATGTAAAGAGGCTCAAATTAAATATCCTACCACATGATACCCACAAGAAAATCAATAAGGAACAAAAATAGCTCCATCTAATATGTCTCACCTGCAAATTATGAATGTGAAAAGCAAGCAGAATATCAAAGACTTTCTAGGATCATCCCAATTTAGCAGAGAAAGAAGCCCATTCCCAACCTCCATTAAGGGAACAAGTAATTCCTGCAAGTACAATTGAAAAATAAATAAATAATAAAAAAAGAGGTAAAGTGGAAAAGCCAAAGAACATGGAGATACAATCAGGGCATACACCAGACTTATAGAACAAGGCATTTATGTATTTACAAAGACTCAACTGAAAAGGACAAAAACAAAAAGAGGGAGCATCAAATCAAGCTTAAAATACCAAGAAAAATGAGTTGAGTTTAGGATAAATACGGTTCCCCCCAAATGTTTAAGCAATATGTCCCCCACCCCCTAACAAAAAGTCCAAATGAATTGCCCTTTTTTGCGGTTTATCTTTTTAATGGTAAAAACATATTGAATTTGAAATACTAAAGCAACTGAATTGCATCACTTATAATACCTTCATCACTGCCAAATTAGTGTCAATACCATCTACTTTAACTTCATCAACTGATCCTTGAGCTTGCAACACCTTTTGATAATTGTCCCTAGATTCCTTAACTGCTTTTTCCAATAAGCTCATCTCACCCACAGCTACCTCACCAACAACAAGCCCAGTCTCACTGGGATTAGTCAAACTTGATCCAAACATAAACCCTAGGTTGGACACCGTGGCCAAGGCTGAGATAGAGTATGTTTGACTTCCAGCTGCAGAATTATTAGTTCGGTCTAATTCCCTTGAAGTAGACATATTTGCAAGAGTCTCCAATATCAAATCTCCTCCAGGTAATTGATCACATAGATTAAACATGAGAAGAGACTCAAAGTGAACTGAGCTTGAGGAACTGATTTCTTGAATGGCTTGCATTCTTAAAATTCCAAGTACAGCTTTTGAAAGTGCTTCATCCCTTTCAACTCCCTTGATGTGAAACTTATTTATAAATCTGTGAACATATAAAATTTCCCGGATTATTGCTAGCCAGTAATCACGACGAGTATGCCCTTTAAGCTCAGGAAGCTCTATTGCAACTGGTTCTGATCTACAAGAGAAACAACAAAACAAAGAACAACTAGTTCAGTTTCCAGACAAGCTTTCAAAACAAAGCATGGCACCCACACTTAAAAATTTAATCAAGTGTAAGATTAAAGAAAAAAAAAAACCCAACAAAAAGACACATATCATGCCTTACAGGGATATAGATTTGTATGAGACTGCCTTGTCAAAAAGTCGAGTACCCCACGGTCCAGTCAACTCAGGTTTAACAACCTGCTGTAGATCATCTGCTAAATCATATCTTTTTGGCTTGTCATAAGATACAACACGAAGTGGTTCAAAATATAGTGCATAATCCGTTAGTATTAATCGACCTGCAGGCTTGTGTAAATGAATAATGTAAGAGTCTAAGAATATTGACTTGTAAACAGAACAGATTACATGGTTATATACAAAAGGTCAAAAAGCAGCCCAAGAAAAGATAAAAAGAATGCTTGCAGTATTTAATTCACCTGGCCAAGTTGATATTCCAACATGTTCAAGAACTGGTTGGGTGGTAACTGTCCCATCAACCTCAAGTATCTTTTCTCCTCTTGCTGAACGAAATGGAGACAAAAGAGACGATTCTGATTGGGACTTCATCTTTTTTATTGCTCTGTAAAGATGAAAAATTCAGAGCATATTTGAAAGGTAGACCAACTAAATGAATGTTACTGCCATAAATTTACATTTCCTTCGAATAACAAATAACTATGAAAGTGAATTTGAAAACTGAAAAAATAGTGTTAAAATGAGAAAGAAATATTGATGCAATACTCAAGCATCAGAGTTAATCAATTTGAAAGCATATTCATCAAGACACAAGATAGGGAACATGAATAGACGCAAGAACATGAAGGAGAATAACTCCGTGATCCTGGATTCCAGGAAGATAGTCTACATTGTTGATGAATGAAACCAACAGATTTTGATTCAATCAGACATGACTTTTGTCAAGATCATGGATTGCATAAATCCAGGGACCACCCTACTGCCGTATTATTTTGAGAGCTCACATGAAATTTCAAGGAGAAATTCTTACCAACACAGATTATAGGGTTTCAAATACATTCACTTTTGTGGTTTAGGAGATCTACTCAATTGGTAGTACTCCCTCTGTCTCAAAATAATTGTCGTTTTTTGGGTCAAATTTTGTCTCAAATTACTTTCTTTTCTTTTTTTTTCATTTTTTAAGGGAGATAAATATTTTTTTTCCTACTTTAACCCTATTGTTATCACTTAACTTTAATTCACCCTATTACAAAATTTTCTCTTTATCTTTATTTGTTTCTTAAGGGTAATATAGAAATACACGAGTTATCCCCAAATTCTTAATTTGTTGAAAATGTCAAAAAACGACAGTTATTTTGGGACAAAGTGTATTAAAGAAGCAAACAAGTACATACTGAAAAGCAATGTGGCAGGATGTTAAGACAGGGCAAATAAAAAAAAGTATACGGTTGACAACAGCTTTATCCGCACAAACTTTAGAAACAGACAAACTCTAATCCAATTCTGCTGTCATTGATCATCCTTATCAATTAAAAAACACAACAGCCTGACCACATCTATCTTCTATTCATAGCCTTCCATGTTAGGCAAGCGACATGCCATTTTATTTACTAATTTGCATTTCTTTTCTTCCCAATCTAGCATTCTTTGTGAACACATGGAACAATGATATCCACTTTTACAAAGGAGATTATGAATTTTGAATGAGTTACAGTAATTGGATGCAGTGATTTGATAATCCCTGTTTCCCCCATAGTCCATACCCCACTTTAATCTAAGCCTAGTTATAAGATTTGACTTTACTTTTACTTCCTCTCATATAGCTTTTTTACTTAATTCCTCCATCTCCCCCCCCCCCCCCCCAATCTCATAGTCCACGTCCATGCTGTCACAACTCTAATCATTTGTTTTGCATCAATGCAGAAGCAGAGAATCCACTGAACATCCTAAGTCATTTGAAACAAATAGATATATCTGGTATCCAAGAACACCCTTAAATCCTTTCTTTTCATTAATCAATCTTGATTTCAATATTTGTTGAATATGCACCATTACTCTTTCAAAAATACTAAAGCTTGCTCCAAATGCCAACTTTAGCATGATCTCTCTAGTTTGGTTAGAAAGTGTCATACATGGGTAACTTCTTAATCAAACACAAAATTTTGACCTAAAAGAAGATGACAGAAAAAGTGAGAAAATGACACAGCCATTTTGCACAGTTTAAGTGTTTACCGTTCTAGTCCATTTAGGTACTTGTCATAGATGAAGAAATGAAGCCGACCACCAGTTGATGATGTAAGAGCCTCAAAAAGATTTTCACTAATAATTACATTAGCAATGATTGGCACTGCTGGAGCTAGTCGAGCAAAGGCCTCCAACCCAACAGATAGATCCTCATCTGACTACAAGAAAGATACCATAATGATAACATGAGCAAAAATTATTCCAAGATTACAACAGAATTATGAATGAACCACAGATTCCATAGTTCTCTTCTAAGGTGAGCAACAGGTCCAGGTATACCTGAAACCAGGCAGAAACAAACAGATGTGTCAGGTAGGTTCCAGATTCCAGAACCAGAACCAGTGACCATACGGTAAGGTTTGATTCCTAATTTTAAGAACCAACCTCTACAAGGTAGGTTTTAGGATCTACTTTCTTTGGAACTGGAACCAGCAAATATAACGGACCCTTGGAACAAGTCAACATTTATTTTTTATTTACTAAAAAACGCTTGTGTAAAACTACCTTAGACCTCATGAGGGTAATTTAAAGCTTTAAGCATTAGGTTAAATAGGTCATTTGGTTTATTTTTAACATAAAAACATAGAACTTCAATTTAATTAATTAACATACACACACAAAAGAAACTGAGATACATGAAACTATTTTTTGATTTAGATTTATATAATGTCGCCAAAAAATACTATAAATTTCTGAAAAAGATGTAACAGGATGACAAGGTAAACCCTGAAACCAACCATGAACCAACAGGATAGGGTCCAGAACCAAAACCACCACTACAGGGTAGGTTCTGGTTCCAAATTTTGGGACCAGCCTCTATTCCAGATTCCATGCTCGCCATACATCTTATCTTACCCACTTTCAGTGAGGTAGAAGGAACCTCTCATTACATTTATTGCAACATTATTAAACCACACATGCTAGGCATCCATCATTCATGCATCCAGAATCCAGATGTAAATATTAGCAAATGGCAATAACTGAAATACCCAAGCCATACCCAAATTGGCAACTTCAAGGTCCCATTGAACTATACTTTAAAAGGAATCTCTACCATTGGCAACTTAACAAGAATACACAAAAGAAGGAAAACTAACAAAAACTTTCACAGATTTTTTTCTTTTGGGCGTTCAGAATCTTCAGATACCCCAATAGTTGAACATGTACAGCACTAATGTTGAATGACAGTTGGCAAAAGCTAAACAAGTAAAACTTACATTATGAAGAGGTTGATTGGATGATGCTGGGACCTCCCAGGCCACCATCATATCAAATGTAAGGCGTCGGAACTTTTTATCAGCCAAATGACCCATTACTTGAGTTGACAAAGCAAGAGCCCTGAAACAGCAATACTCCAAAAAGTTCCTAGCATACCGTGATGGGTGCTTAATAAAATCAGATGCCTCAACATTAAAACTTTCTTGAAGCTCACTCGAAGAAACAGCAAGGATTCTGCACGTTTTGATTAAATATCCATAAAAAGATTATATATGTCAAGTGGCAAAAAAGGTTATCTAGGGTAAATACTAGACTCTGTCAGCTAGCCTAAATCATTCTCCTAAGAAAATGAATTCAAAGCTTGAGGTAAAAAAAAAATTCCAATAATACAAATTCAGGTACTAATAACAGAGGAAGGTAACATTTGACAGCAGCACCCAGGCCAAGCTTACTTTGAGCATCTTCGCACAATTATATTGGCAATAGGAGAGAGCACTGGTATAAAGTTCTTTCCACCGGATGGAGAATTATCCATCTCCTCAAATTCCTCATAGAAGGGACTTCGCCTTCCGAGCAACCATTTAAATGATCCTTCTCTCACCAGACCTTCAAGCATACTCCTAGTTTTGCTACCAGCAGCCATCTCTTACTTTCCCTTACAGTATTATCAAGCTGAAAAACAAGAGCCAGATTGCCTCAGATCATAGTGTTCAGATAAAACACAACTGTTTCACCATAAAGGCTTAAAATTTAAGCAGCCTTTAGGTATGAGAAAAATGACAAACCAAACGTAACTCATTTGTTGAAAATCCGAGCACCACAGTTTTCCAATTACTTCAATTGGCAGCAGTATATCAATGCACACAAAAAGATAACTCATCAGATTAGCCTATTCACTTGAAAGGCCAAAATTTTACTTCGTTGATGTTTGCAAATTGCAAATGCCGCAGAAGAAGCTCAACTCTTATTCAAAATCCAAATAAATGATTAAGATAACAGTACTCTCAATACCGGCTGCTCCTCTTAAACCATTATTGAGTAGATACAAAAAATATCATTTTTTCTCAAACCCAACATCATTATCTTATTCAATACCCAAGCTTAAAGATGATTAAAAGACCTAAACCCAGAAACATTTATATTGGCCAAAAACACAACAACTTCAGCAAACCATAACCCAAAACACTTACCTAAAAAAGCGCATAGAAATCCACCTAAAACCCAATGTTCCGCACCAGTAAACCCCTTGATTCCTGCAAAATTTCAAGAAATCCACATCAGATTACCTCCCCCAAACCAATACCCACAAGCCAATTCCACCAGAAATTGCAAGAATCACAGTACCAACACGGAGGAGGGAAGTTCCGACAAACTTCTATCCTGGGCATTCATGATTCTGGCATGGATATAAAACAACAAAAATGCGGGAAAGATTGTGAAGAGTTATGTTGTGTGACGCAGTAGATTCAGGCTTAATTAAGGAACTTTCCTCATCATCATCTCGAGGTAAAGGTGATTGGGATGAAGCTGGACCGTTCGGCGAAAAGGGCTTATCAGGCCCTAGACTCTGCGATTGTAGATAATTACCCCCCTAAATTTTTTTTACTAAAATCAGCCCCTAAACTGCTCGGTTGTGTAAAATCCGCCCATGACGTCACTTTGCCATCCACAAGTAGGAATGGTAATTTCCTTCGTGACCCGTGAAGCTTTGTGGATATCTCCGCCATAGCGATGGAAATTTTAAAAATATTCCTTCTCATAGAGTGAGGATAGAGGTATTTTTTTTCTCATGAAATTTCATGAGAAATTTTTTTCGTCCCATGGAAAATTGTGGAGATCCACATAGAATGAAAGAAAATATAAATTTATATATTTTTTAAATATATTAATAATTAATTTTTACTTATTCAACCCAATCCATTCTTTTTTTAGTTTTTTTAAACCTAATTATATAGTCCAGTCCAGCCCATAGTCTTCCTAAACTTAATTACCCAGGACAAACCCAATTTGCATTAGTAAGTAGTTCCCTAGAACTAAAAGAACTACTACCATAGATTTTAGATTTGCGAATCTACAAACTGCGATTCCTTCTCCTTTCCAAACTCTAGTCTCTTCTCCTCTACGTAGACTGCACTGTATCTCACTAGCTCTATTTATGTTCTTCAATCGGTCAATTCCCTTCAACCTATTATTCTTGGCAACCTTCGAAAAGTCGTGCCCATAACTTTATTTCTATTCTTCAATTTGATATAAAGAATTTTTTTTAAAATTTTGTTAACTTTGGGTACTTGTTTTTGTTTCAGGAAATTATTTCCTCAACTTGAAATTATCGATCAAGTTTAGTTTAAGTTGTTGCTGCAAAGTTTGCCTTATTGGATTGGATGAATGTGTACACATCTGCCACTTACTAGACTCTTTTATGCCCATTTTCTAAATGAACTTATTACTAGACATTTATGGCAGTAATTTATGCATTTTTTTTCTATGAACTTTGCTAAATCTAGACCTGTGTAGCAATTGCAGTTTATGCCTCTTTTTTTATGAACCTTTTGCTGGATTCACTAGACTTATATGGCAGTTTATGCCTTTTTTTTTTTCTTTATGAACTTGTTGCTCACTTACTAGTCCTGCTTGACATGTATATATTGGCTGTCTATTTATTGCTTGTTTATCTTGTTTTAAATTTTTACTTTATATGATTTTTTAAATTAATTTTATTTGATGAATGTGGAAACTAATGGAGTCTAAGTAGACCCATGTTGAACTTAATTTTGATTAACAGGCAGTAGAGCATGTGATAATTTTATTTGGCGAAAATTTCGAATACTTATGGAAATCTATTATTTTCTGTGGATATGAGAACGGAGGTTATTTTTTATTCTCCATAAAAAATCTCAGTGGAAATCCTTGTACCCGCTATTGATGAGGATGGAGATGGGGAGGGATCCCCACCTCCATGAGACCGTTGCCATCCCTATCCACCCACAAGGACCACAACAGTCGGACCTCGTGC